TCAAACATCGGAAAACAGTTAAAAACATCACGCCCCAGTGCATGAAAGCTGAATTCGAACTTCGAAAGGTGAATCTTTATCCCGAGTTAATAGTTTACCCGCCAATCACTAGCCCGTAGGTGATACCCAAGAGCGCGGGAACGCTGAATTTGAATGGGCAAGGTTGAGCGTGGGCAGGGGGTCATTACCCTAAGATTTCAGCCTCCTAGACTCCGTGGTTTCCGAGGTATTAATTTACCCGTAAAAAACTTTCATGGGGTCATACGTGTTGCATGCGAATACGGGGAATCACGTGAAGACACTCAAAGAATCCTTCACTCTTCGTCCCGGTCAGCGTTCCCTTTTCTGCTCCATCAGTGATTAAGTTTCGCATTTGTAAGTCACTTTCTTCATCAAACTGCTCCATAAGAAGTAGAAGAATTCCCCTCGAAAGTATAAAAAAGAAAATCAAGATTTTTTTAAAATATCGTAGTGCAAAGAACATACGACTGCAATCGAATTCGCGCATAAAACGTTCCAGAACTGCAGTGATGCCAGAGTCACCAGCAGCCATCTTGCGAGCCTATTTCTACGGCCACGCCAAAAAAAAAGCTTATCCTGAAAATAGCTAATGTCAAATGAAGTTACACCAGAGAATAAAATTAAGCGCAAAAATTACAAACAACCTTCAATGGATAAGCATATAGACGTGTATAATGCATTAAACTGCGTCTCGAAAGTAAGGCTACTGACCCGAAGAGACGTATTTCCAGACATAAATATATTAAATTGTAATTTTAATTTTAGATGATGTGTGTTTATGTAAAAAGTAAGGGTCAGAAGGAAGGAATAAAAGGAAGGTGAATAAGATGAGGTGTGAAAGTGAGGTAAAAGACATCTAGGCTTCCCTCTTGCACCTATCCTTCTTGACTCAGTTAGGTTTCCCAGTTCGTGCGTAAATTTGGCAAAATTTTCTCCGTACTTTTTTCTTAAATTCCCTTAAATTTCATTTTCATGATTAAATTTTAAACATTTTACATTTTAAGTGATCTTAATTGATCAGTACCACAACTGTCACACTGAGAAGGTCGAGTTTTGGTGCCGAATAGGAATGTGTGCGAGTTGTTGGGCCGAAACATTCCTGTTCCGTTATTTTCTTCTACCCCCACAGTCACGCTTATGTTATCTGTATTTTTCGCACGTGGCGAGTTGGAGGCTGCACTGATGATTTCCACTCCAAATCGCATCAGCTGCTCTGTCTGTGTCTGCAGCTAAGAGATGAAAAACGGACCGCAAACTTTCGCATACAAATCTATATATTATGGTAATTTTCGAACCATCTTACTAAACATATATATATATATGCGTATATATAAGTACATATATATAGATATATGTATATATATATGTACATGTATATATATGTGCATATATACATATATATGTATATATATATACCAGTTAAGGACATTTAAAATGTAAAATGTTTAAAATTTAATTATGAAGATGAAATTTATATATATAAACACATATAAACACTACAAATTTCATTAGCAAGAATACCAAGAAAGCCCGGGTATACCAAGTATACCAAGAATACCAAGAAAGTTCTCACACCTCGCCAGTAGGCCGCTATAGCATAAGCACATAAAATTAGAACGCGAATAACAACGAGCTATTGCGACATGAAAAAAAGAATTTTGCAAAAGGTCTTTTTGAGTGGGTTTTGCGGCGTCCTTAGCAAATTTCCATGGCAATTTTGCTTCGATTGACTAAATTCTAAGCTTATCCATACACATTTCTGCTCTTTCATCCAAATTTCTTTAGTCTTCCACCGCAAAAACAATATGTAAATCCTTCGCACAAAGTAGCGACACATGTTTGAATGCGCCACCATTCCCTTGACGTCAAGTACTTTAGTAAAGAAAATGATGCTTGCAGGGACCTAGCAACTACTGATCTAGACAAGCCTATCATGCCAACTATCCGAATTCGATGATGAAACAAACGCCCCAAAAATCCCCAAGAACAAAGAATGACTATGGATGGCTCAGCCTGCACGACCCACTGCGAAGCAATGCCCGACAAATCCCCGCGTGCTCCCGCCGCTCAATAGAATGATCAACGTTTGAATAATGAGAAAAATGATCTTCTTTTTATGCATTTTTGCTTATATGCAAATTTCAAAAACGCATATTGCAACGGCCCTATCTGTGTGTGTGTGTATGTGTGTGTGTGTCTGTGTGTGTGTGTGCATGTGCACGCATGCGTGTGCGTTCGTCTGTCCGAGTATTTCAACTCGGCAACCAAGCAAGCTTCCACGTCAAAATTTTGCTACTTGGTCCCTCGGTCAAGTGCCACTCCAGGACCGCGGCATCAACCCACAAGCAAGTCTAGGCCCCACATACGAGCGGGTGAAAATTTTGGCGAGAAAACTGATAACTCGGGAACGAGAAAAGCTAGAAAGCCGAAATGTTGGCATTGTGTTCCCTGCCCAAATAGAACTCAAACATTTCAAATTTGCACCCTTCTG